AAAGTGCATGGTATCGGCTCTCATCATGGGTACCATTGCTGTACCCTGCATCATGACCCCCTGCTGACCACCCATCATCTATAAAACAGAAAAAAATACCTTTCTATTATACAATAACAATTAGTTAATTAATAATTTGCTGATTATATATCGACATTTTTATTAACTGGGTAAGTGAAATCCAACTGAAATTTAGTACATTAGTTAGGTTGTGAGGGACGAAAGTAAAAACTCTCAATGGAATTCAAATGCATAAAGAATCGACCTCACGCACTCATGCAAAATTGACCTCTGTTCCTTTGGCGTAAAATATTAAAAATTACCAGCAGATAGTTAGATAAAGGGCACTTGGACACCGAATGTGGTTGGATTTCTATAGGGTTTTTTTCCTTTCGATTATTTGAATTAAATTAACGTTATGCTTGTTTACTTAACTTGTGTCCGTGTTCCTTCGTTCGCTGTTGTAATGCAGAATCAAATTCACCTTAAGTTCCATATAGAGCCCTCTATATGACCATATTATCTCTTTATTAACCATATTAACTCTGGACGGTTGAATATTACTGACGTAAGGAGCATCACGCGGTCGCGTTGTTGTTGGTATAGTACAAACAGAATCAAGTACGGAATGGCCGTTAAAGAAGTAACGCTCATAGGCTATTCAAACCGTTTGACCTTTGGAATGAAAACGTCTGCATTACAACAGCGAACGAAGGAACACGGACACAAGATAAGTAAACAAGCATAACGTTAATTTAATTCAAATAATCGAAAGGAAAAAAAACCTATAGAAATCCAACCACATTCGGTGTCCTAGTGCCCTTGATTAGATCTTCCCCGTGGCTCGGATGACAACGTTAAGCTTGATTTGATTTACATTTTGACCTGGGAATATTCAACTTACTTGTTGTCGTGCTGGCAAGGGCTCTGGTTCAACTTCTGTATGGCAGCAGAATGAAGCAAGGCAGCATATTATGGCCCACGAAGACAAAAGAAAAACCAGTATGGCTAAGCCCAAAAGTGAGCTTCCTATGGCAACAAATACTACATTGCAAGAACCATTATTTTTGCACGTGTCACCGTTTATCTTTATCAATAACCTCAAAGTGGATATTATGGTGCTGAAGTCGTAGATCGCGTAGGCCGATAGTCCAGCAACCATCAGTGAAAATATGAACAGTGTGACGATCTGTTATAAGACGGGGAAAAAAAGATACCCAGCTGCATAATCAGGGCCGTAGCCACCGGTACAGTTGGTCCGGTTTCAACCGGACCAACTTTCAGGGAAAAAATATAAGAAAAATATTTTGAAAATGTAAGAAAAACCGAAAACCCTCCAAAATCGGACCAATCAGAAAATTGTGGCTACGGCCCTGATAATTGAGGTTTGTGAGGCAGGGGGGAGACTCCGCGCTCGAGTAAGGACAGGACAGGACAGGACAGGAAGAGAAAACTCGTGAAGGACTGAAAGTATGCCATGTATGCGAGGAWCTGGAAAAGTCATAAGTGTGCTGATTCGTAGAAAGGGAATAGCACATTCAATTGCAATGAGCAATAATACAAATGTGCAGATAGACAACGTTCAATGAATTATAATAACTTACTTGACACATGTCGCGGTGGGCACGGTGACCACTTGCACAACAACCAATGCACCCAGTGATCATGGTCTGGATGTAAAGACATACAATTCATCAACTGAATTGAAGTGATTGAGGATAATATGACTCAATTATGATTATGAAAACAACAGATTAATTGACTGGTATGGTAAAAGGAGCATGCTCTAGTTGTAAAAGTAAATGTACTTTCCAATCAGTTGGTATATAAAGTATCATGCCATTCCTTTTAATAATGTGATCGAAGCAATGAAGCAAGTTAGAGTCTCGTATAGCCAGCAACAAATAAAACAGTCAGGCAGTTTTGTACTTTGGAAATTCAAGTTCTCGTACTAAACAACATGGCTTGAAGTTCGCTAATTATAAACTGTCAGCTCCTATTTCTAGCCCGAAGCTCTTGTTGTTCTAGTGCAGGGGATGGGGCAAGATGATTTGTTTTTACACTCTAAATGAACTGACTAAATGACTTCACTTTTTCGCTGTTAATAAGTTGATTGTTGCGAGTACTTACTATCAGTGCCAACAAAGAAGTATAACCAAGATTCCACCAAAACATCAATGATAGGTCAAGAGTAGAGGGAGCTTTTCCCTTCAACCAGCGATAGTGGAGAGTTTGATTTTTATAAATGATGGAAAAAGCTATGAAAAATCCTGCCGGAACGAAGATCAAAAGACCGAAAATGATCATCGAGATTGCTGCACATCTCGAAGATCTGACGCTCAAAGCCATTGTGGATCGAAAAGTACTTTTGAGTTGACCGCAAAACAAGGAAACGAGAAGCAACGCAGTTGAAATCACGAAGACGCCTTGAAGTCCAAAGCGCTAAAACAATTCTTGTTGCGTTTACTTCCTTGAGTATGACCTTTATAGCTATAGGCGGGGCTACGTGTGCGTATCACAAACTGACATTGAAATTAATAATACTTGGTTTAAGTAACGCAAATCTTAGCTTTATTTATAGATGATAACTCGAGCAATTAAAACTAAAGTTTTTACTGGGTTGCCTGTGGAAAACTAGTCTCAAAACTATCGTTATAGATATATACATGAATTTGTAATGACGGTACGCAGTAATGAAGCTGATAACATTTGCCGTAAGTGAAAGACTTTTCACTAAGTTTTGAATCGTTTTACTAACCGAGTCTTATTCCACTTTAATGGTTTGGATATTAAAAACACTTTAAGTGTACATAACAAGGATAAAAAGGTATTTTTAACAGTTTTATTTGATTCAGACGAGCTGAAACTAATAGGTCGGGAATTCCAAACCGGTCCAAACAAACCAATCAGTTTTACATGGTAATTTCAAAAAGTTAGCGAAAATCAAATGAAGAGTTGAATACATTTCTAAACGAATCAGTATGTCACTTATTTAGTCATGTACAGTTCCTGAAATAAAGACACTTTTTTCGTCAAACACGAAGGAGTCATAGTAGGTCAAGATTCAGTTGTGTAGGTCAAGATGGAGAGTATATTATAACTTAGTGACGTCAGTAACGCAATGCTGTTTTCTCCAGCTACTGAAATCGCATCTGACTGACTGCAGTATTTATAAAGTACTACAATTAAGGGGAAGCACCGCATTACGAGCTAAATAAGTGTTACGAAGTTCTGAAATACACATAGAATAGGAGTAGCACAGAGAGGACAATGGGAACGACTTAATAACAGCTAGCTTTACACAATGATTTCTTCAGATAACCAATGATATAAAGAAGAATTTATATAAATTATATTACCAAAGAACGAAAAGTGTTGAAATTTCGAAAGGATCTTGAAGAAAAATTGTCCTAGTGCCTTACAACAGAAATCAAGCGTTTCAGAGTGAAGTGCATTCCACGGCTTTAATCATCATCAAATTAAACTAGGTCAAAACAAGGACGTCTCTTTACATACGCTATTCCATATTTAGTGCTTTATAAGCCATTTAGTCTAGTGTTGTTAGGTTACGGTACGCCACAACATAAATAACGAAGTAGTTTTTTCACCAACATGCATATCAACTGATCCACATTATAAAAGTTTCAAGCTTTTTTCTCGATTCCAAATTCATTTACGTCTGTTCTCTACACCTATCCTTCAATTTCTTGCTGACTTTTTCTGGCATGTGCTTCTTTTCGTGGCCAACTTCGAGATAAATTGAATAGTATTGGTTTTATGCCAGAATTGTGTTTGACCTAAAGGTGACGATCGTGAGGCAGCAAAGCGATAGCAGCTTTATAGAGCTTCCTTGAAGTCATCTCCATGGTAATAGAAAGTTTTAGATTTACGTTCACCGCAAACGTGAAACGTCAGTTGACCAGTAAAAAATTCTTTTAAATTACTGAAAAAGAATCGCAAAAAGGTCCAAGTAGTAGAAAAACAAAAGAGTATTTGCGCTTGGTGAGAAGGTTTGTAAAACGTAAAGTAAAATACACGAAAACTATGAAAACGTGGTCACGTTTGCCGTTCGCGGGGAGAAAAAAAGTCAATCTAAAACTCTCTATTCAAGTAATATTACGTCAAACCTTGCATTAGTTTGTCAACTAAAGCTGACAAACATAGATAACTGTCTGAACTCTCGACTCTTGCGTTTATAAACGGAGTAAAGCATTTAATTTGTATTGCACAAACGTGTGAAAAAAGTACCGAAATTATCCTGGGGGTTCAGGAGGAGAAATCGAGGTAGTTGCTATCAGAGCTCCCGTGATATGATATTCCTATGGAAATAACAACAGAGAAGAATAATCTGCTATAGTAGTTTTACAGCACAACAACAGCAGGCACTGCCTAAGATGGCTGGATTTTTGGCGTCCTTTGGTCAAACATTCTAGCTAAATTCGGTTAATTTGATTGTCGCTGACAGTCTTTCTTGGAATGAGAATCAAACTGGCTATTCACTGATTCATTCGCTTTGAGCTGTGAATGTCATCTTTAAAACAAAATTAAAACTCTAAGGGATCCCAAATCGGGCATTGATTGGGAGGGATAGACTAAGCTTTAGCCTCCTAGCATTTTCCTAACAAGTCCCAAATTTCCACTCTTGATCTTCATATACTGTACTATGTTTTCCAAAACCGCATCGCACCCCTTACTCTTCAAGGGGCTTGGCGAACCCACAGTATTCAAACACGTCCTCGGACGTCATTGACGCCTAAAGCCTAAGGGAGAGGTTAGTCGGCCCCTAGACCGTAGATGATTAACCCCTTGCTATGACCAGCAAACCTAAAAGCTCTTCATATCGCTAATGACTAAGTACCCACGGACACTCCTTTCCATGTGGGATCGGTTGTAAGAAAATTGGGGAGGTCTGAAGAAAGTGCGGAAACTGATAATGATAAGCCGGGAAGGATTATGATTTTTTCGCCAGTTTCGGTCCAATCATAAAGAACCTGGTGTTTTTAGTCAAATTATTGTATGGGCACGTAAATTCACCTCAGACTCGACGGTCGATCTCCTTTATGGTATATGTGGACCTCTTACACACTTCAAGCGCATTGTTAGCAGCCTCTACATCTAAATCAATCGACCTAGTAAACAGTAGTCAGTAGTCTTTGATCATATTTCTGGTTCATTTTATTAAGTTACTTTAACGTAGATATGTACAATTTGTTTCACGTAATGAGCATGCGCCGTACCGTATCATTAAATTGCACCTACCCAAGATACAAGATATTCGATATTGATTTTACCCGAAGTGAATGGTTCAATGGTAAAATTATATTTTTATATATGATTTGCGTGGTGTATCTTGAAGATGTCAAGGTTTATTATACTCCTAAATATGTTTTAATATATCTTGGGACCTTCCAAGGATTGAACGGGGTGAGCGATACGCCCTTGATTTCATCTTACACAAAAAGATAACTTAGTAACTGCTGCAAAAAACCACTACAACCATGAATAAATTTAGACCTGGAAAGTCTTTATGTCATTATAATGTGGTCCTCTGTAGGAACAGCGGCTAATATGTTAGAGTGGAAGATCTCCATGACCTCTTCCCCATTTTTTTAGTGTTTCTTTCCCTAAAAAACAATGACTGGGGTTCACACTAAGTCGTTGATTCTAAGACGCTTTAAGGA